TTTTTTTGTTTTGTTTTGTTTTTGCCAATTGTGAATATTGCATCCTTAAAATTGCTTAGATTCTATCAGTTTGAAGAACAAGAAATGCTGGCGATACTCCTAACTCAGCATACACAAATCCCTGGGTTTGATCCCTAATACTGCATAAAACTGGGCACTCCCAGCCCTGGGGAGATGGGGCGAGAAATCAGAAGTTCAGTGTCATCCTCAGCAGCAGAATGAATTCATGGCCAGCCTGGGATATATAGCAATACAGGAAAAAACATCTGATACTTGATAAGCCAGTCAAAATAAAACTAAAAGTTACAGGTCATCAAATGAAAATCCCAGTGCCATAGGTGAACTACCTCATGATCTATTGGTGAGGGAGTTCCCTAAGGCCCCAAAACAGTCAATTGCCACCTCTGTTGGTTGCCACCAGAACTAGGTAGTAAGACACTATTTCTGAAGGGCTTTGGTCTCAGGACATAAAGAAATCAAGCTGGAAATTTCATATGTGTTAGCTAGATCTTACAGTGCTGGAAGATGCTATGCAAGCTGATGAGAACTGTCATCAGTAGTCTTATTCAGCTGTGGACCATTGCTACAACTATACAGACCAGATAGGCCAGCTGAGCCCACTGGTACAATAGTGGCAGGTGTGTTATGGGGATAACCAACCACTTTCTACATGGGATTGGTGCTTGCACCACAAGAGAATATTCACATCTGATACTGTAAACCTAGTCAAAAGCCCATGACTGAGCTGGGCATTGGTAGCTCACGCCTTTAATCCCAGCACTTGGAGGCAGAGGCAGGCGGATCTCTGAGCTCGAGGCCAGCCTGCTCTACAAGAGCTAGTTCCAGGACAGCCTCCAAAGCCACAGAGAAACCCTGTCTTGGGGAAAAAAAAAAAAAGCCCATGACTGGGGAGGTCATAAGCCTAAGGCAGAAAACTACTGCTGTTGTCTTGCTAATAGGTATGATATATCCATCAAGTTGCCTTCTAAGCAGCGATGTGCTTATGCCTATAACTTTTTTTAAGATTTATTATTTATTATGTGTACAGTGTTCTGCCTGCACCTATCCTGCAGCCCAGAAGAGGGCATCAGATTTCATTACAGATGGTTGTGAGCCACTATGTGGTTACTGGGAATTATACTCAGGATCTCTAGTGTTCTTAACCACTGAGCCATCTCTCCAGCCTGAGAAACTTTTTAGCAGTGGTCAGTGGTGACTTCAGAGACTCTTAACAAGTCAAAGTACTGAGAGGAAATGATGAATGTCCATAAACTGGGAATCTTTATCACTCCTTACAACTCTTGGGGCACTATTGAAAGAAGGGGTGAGAAGAATGTAAGAGACAGAAGTAGCAGGGGGAACAAGGTAGAATACTGACTTGTAGGTATGATATGACGATTGGAATCTTGAACTCATAGCATCTGTGA